AACGATTTAATTATCTACAGACATCCCCACATACATTTTTTGTGATGTGTGTGTATATGTGTGTGTGTATATATACACCCACATATAAACAGACACGCATATTCACACGTATCTATACGCCTGTACACTCACCCGTGTTACGTAGTCAGTCTGCATACATAAAATATGTGTAAACGCCTCAGCAAGGAAAAGACATCGTACGTGTGTGGTTGTAAACTGTGCGTGCATGTGCACCCGCACTCATAAGTGCATGCATACGTCTATGCATTCATATTAATACACATATATATTTATATATATGCCCATGTGTAGTATCGCTCGTGTTGCTTGGATTTTACCCATACCGGGCTGTGTTTGGCAGCCCCAGATCTGAACGACCACAAGTGTCCAACCTGTTTAAGCAGGGCAGTTTGGGGCTCCAGTTATAGACGGAAAGCGGACGGTTTCCAGCCCAGGCTGGCTGTTTTGGGGCTTGGCAGAGGTGAAGGCAATCCCCCCCCGTCCCCGCTGCTTGGGGCCGGGGGACTTGGCAGGGCACTGGGGAGGTCTGGCGTGTGGGGAGAGACTTGTTTTTCATTTTGGGCTAAGCCTTCAGGGCTTATTCTGCTTAACCAGCGCCAGCACCTGTGGGAAGTAAATGCCAGCCTGGCTGCCCGCAGGTAGAAGGAAAAGACGTTGCAAAGCGCAGCGAGTATCCTCGTGCTACTGGTGAATTTTCCCGGCATCCCATTTATTTTGGAGCGGGGACTGAGCCCCTCGGAGGGGTCCGGGGGTGCCGTGAACTGGGCAGCGCGGCCGGCACCAGCCGTCGGGGGTTGCTTCCCCGTCCTCCCCGATGCCGCTTTCCTCGGGGCTGGGGCTTGTCGGCAGGGCCCGGCTTTTGGAGGAGAGGGCAGGTCAACCGGGTTTATCTGCACTGCTGGGAAAGGAGTTGGGAGCAGCCAAGGGAAAAAGTGGTGAGGGGAGAGTTCACCCCACGGGGTAAAAAGCAGGGAAATACTCACCGGAGAGCCCCCGTGGGGAGGGCAAGGCTGCGCTGAGGCCCCTTTGGGCCGGAGCAGAGCTGGGGGCTCCCTGGCTGTGGACACTTACCGTCTCGGCAGCGTCCGGATCCTGCAGCAACTTCTCGCTCTTCCTTAGGTGTTGCTCTCGATTTTCTCGCTCCCGCTTTCTCCTCCTCCTCCTCCTCCTCCTCCTCTCTCCTGCTGTTGGAGGAAACAACGTTTCAGCATCTTTTGCGGAATCTTTATGCAGGCGCGCCGCGAGCGCATCGCAAAATCGCTCCAGGTTGAGGGAGCGGGTGGGAGAGGAATGGGAAATGCAGGGGAAGGCAGGGAAAGGCGCCGGGCGGCTCATCTGCAGGCACTCCCTGGAGCTGGAGGGATTGGAGTTTTTTTTTCCCCTTGTCAATTTGATTTGGCAAATAATCGCCTCGATTTACTACTTTTTTTTTTTAATCAGAGCAAATAATTGGTTCCCGAAGCACACTTGAATCTGTGCAAATAACCAGGTTATCATATGCTATATATAGCCTGGCGTGTTTGCTTGCAGAGGCGCCTGAACATTCATTTGACAAGTTTCCTGTTCACTCTAATAGCATATAAAAAAAATTAAGCTAGATAGTGCCAATACCGTTGGATTAATTGGCTGATCTTGGTGAACCGGTAGCTTTTCTACTCATTTCCCCCTTTTTTCAGTCCAAGAAAGAGCGGGACTTTCCTGGAATTTCCAGTCACTCTGTGCCTTCTTGGATGGTACAGATTCACGTATGATATACACCCCTTCACGCACACATATATATACATATATATGTGCATGTTTTGTGTATCTTAGTGTGTGAATAGATGTGTGTGTATATCTATATGTGCACACACATGCACGCACACAGGCGCACACACACACACATATATATATACATCTGCAAGCGCACACACAAACATAGTCAGCCTAGTAGTATTTTGCATTGCACTGTGTGGTTTCTTTGCAAAAAAAAAAAAAAAAAAAGCAGGAATCTCACTGATA